AAATGCAAAAGAATCTTCAGTCAAATAATTAGAACTGATGAGAATGTTTAATAAACTTGCTGGATTCATGATGGAGAAAAAAATCAGCAAAATCATCTCTATAAAACAGCAATAACTATTTGCAACATGTAATTGAAAACAAGAGCCTCTTCATCACAGTCACAAAGTGGCAGGGTGCCTGGAAGTAAGTTCTCCAAACACCACATGTAAGACCATCATGGACAAAGTTTGCCCAATATACATGAAGGGTATAAATAAAGCACTGTATTTATTCATGGATGGGAAAACTAATTTCCCTTTGTTATTTCTTCCAGATTAACCTATAGCAATAATAATAACGTGAATTAAGTTCTGTTAATATACTCATTTCACAAATGAAAAACTACGATATTAGGAGATTAAATTCAGTGAAATCCAATCATAGTTCCAGGAAGATGTTTTGTGAAACTAAAAAAACTGATTCTGAAATTCAGATGGAAGAGAACGCAAGAATATAAAAAAATTACAAGAATAGTCATGCCAGCTCTAAAGGGAAGAGCAGGGCAGGGGACTACCGACCAGAAATCCAGGCTTATTTTGAAGTTGTGGTAGCTAAGACAGTGCAGTGTAGTCAGGAGATGGACTAGGGATTGGGGGGGCGGGTAAATTAGGGACTCCAGAACCAATGCCAGACGAGGTCCTACACACCAGAGAGGAAAGGGTAGACAGTTCATGGTGTATTTTGGGACAGTGACTGTCCTTATAGAAAAAGGTAAATATTAAATCTTTACGCACAAAAATTAAAGTCCAGAATACTGGAGATGGAAAGGTGAAAAAACACAATTTAGAAATTTCTCAAAGAAAATATATACTTTCAGGCTGGGTGTAGCTCAAGCCTATAATCCCAGCAGTTTGGGAGGATAAAGTAGGAGTATCCCTTGAGCCTAGGAGTTCAAGACTATCCTGGACAACATAGCAAGATCCCATCTCTACAAAAAAGAAAAAAAAAAGAACACATATACTTTGGGATGGGGAAGGATTTCAAAAACAAGAAATAATTATGGTTCTTAAACGAAAGCTTGAGAAATTACACTACATCAGAATTGTAAAATTTCATGTCACAAATGACAACAGTGAGGAGTGACAAGCACAGCCTGATCGGCACGTTCCTCCCCGGGGTGTTCCTGCGCCTAGCCCTGCCTGGCTCCACACCCATGTCTAGGCCTCCCCAGCATCTCCCCACCAAGCTGGAGGGAGGAAGATGACGCATGCACTGTTGTGCTCTCCTGCTTCCTGAGGAAACAGATGCCCTCAGGATCCCAGTTGGGATCTGGCTTTTCTGGATCAATTATGTGAAAAACCAGCCAACCCCACGAGGCTCCACTTCTGGGGCCCTCTTCCAGGTCTCTCCAGGGAAGCCAGGGCTTTGGAGGGGCTGTGCAGGCCATGGCGGTGCACCCCTCGCCCCCGGTCCCCGGGTGTAGCAAGCCGCTGTTGGTTTTGCGAGGGACGGGAGGCTGGGAGAAAGTGTGAGGAAGCCCCGGCATTGCTTGTGTCTTCGGTGAAATATCCCGTGCTTTTGTTTTAAGGTTTACATTGTTTTATGTGGTGAAAATGGACTTTCAGAAACCAAAGAACTCTACTGTCCAGAGAAGCCCCTGTTTGAAAGGAATTCCAGACACACCTTTATCCTGAGGTATTCTGAAACATTCCAGCTGCACTGTGTGGGAAAGAGAGGCCAGTCAAGGTCGGTGTGGGCCCATCACAAATCCAAAAAAGTGGAAAATGCAGCATTGGTCTCTAATAGGGAGCATCGAGTTGCATTCAATTGTATGAAGTATTTTTACAGTTTGTTATTGGGAGTAGATTAAGCAGTGTGTTTATGTGAGGGGAGGAAGGAAGGAGGGAGAGAAAGACTTATCAATTTTGCATGTTAGTAAAGTTCATAATGACAGTGTTTTCTGTGTCACTAAACCTGCTTAAATTAATTAGGTTCACCCCAAATTTGGAAGAGCAGGAACACATGATGTCACATGGAGGGTAGGGACAGAGGAAGGAAATGATTTATCAAGATGGGGGAAAAGCACCTGATGTTTTAGAAAATATGAAAGTACTGAACTAAATTATTTTTTCTCCTGAAAATTTCATTTATAATAATATTGAGTATTATATCTGTATTAGGAGATAAAAGGTTAACTTCAGACTAACCCGTGCCAAATGCAGATACATTGGCAAGATTTGAGTGACTGTGTTTGGGGAAACTAAAGGATACTGAAGACCCATGTGCATTGTCACTGCGCAGCGGGTTCACTGTCCGCTGGCCGTGTTCCAGGGGGCGTCACGTGTCACTCTGCACATCAGTTATCTGTTGACATGTCCCATCCCCCTCTCGTGACCATCAGTGACTTGAGGGCGGGCGTCAGTGCTGGCACGTGTCAGGACCATGCCGTCCACACGTCTGGCTGATGGGATGCTGCTGTGTGTGTCGCCAGCGCTCCTGACCGGCTGGGCCCGCTGCGGAGGATCCGCCTCTGGCACGACAGCCGTGGGCCTTCCCCGGACTGGTTCCTCAGCCACGTGATGGTGAAGGCACTGCACACAGGACAGGGCTGGTTCTTCCCTGGCCAGTGCTGGCTGGCGGCCAGCCGGCACGACGGCCGCGTGGAGCGGGAGCTCACCTGTCTGCAAGGGGGACTCGGCTTCTGGAAGGTGGGTCCGTCCAGGCTGACGCCAGAACATGGCACCTGGCTCTGCCTCTCTCACTGCAGTTTATCTTTAAACTCATCTTATGTTAATTGTATTAGCTCTTTTCTTAGTTAATTTTCAAGATGTTCATATTTTAAATGATGCATTCATTAAGTGGCCATCCAAGCGTGGATTAATTACCGTTGCCATTTATTAACTATTGCGGTATTGCTTTTCTTCTTTTGATTGTAACTGTAATAACATTTCTGGACTTCATGGTTGCAGGTGGTCTGTGGTGTCCAGAAGGCCCCTAACTAAAGACTGGTCGGTGCTCTGTGTTTATCCTAAACCACCTAGGTAACAATCAACAGAATAATCCAGATGTTGTCAGGGCCGAGATGGCAGGACATGGTGAAAGTGACAAAATCTCCAATAATCTCACAAACCAACTATGAAGGTTTTGAGTTTTGCATGTTCTTTTCCAGCTTTCCCTATATACAGACATATTTTATACACTTGCAATAATAATGCTGTGCGTTTTGCACTTTCTAATTCAACATTTTAGAGGAGATCTCTTCATGAATTTTCTTTAAAATGATTTAGGACCATAAAATGGCCCACTGTGCACTATTCTCAGCTCACGTATCCACCTGTGGGCATTTACAATCTTGTTTTGTTTATTATGGCAACAGAAAATGTCGTGGGAAACACCTTCACGCATGACTTTGTGTTTCTGGTCAATGAGTCCCGAGGCTGGTCTCACACAGCGGTAGGCGCTCAGCGCCCACATCGCCCCACGCTCACTAGATCTTGCCAGGCCACTGAGCTCTTTCCGATCCGTCGCCTTGCCACCTGCTGGGGTGAGAGGGCCAGGCTCACGGCCTTGGCATTTTCAGGCCTGACATTGCTAAGTCGGTAGGAAACATGATTGCAGTGAAGTGGAAATGAGTTTCAATCAGCCACAGCATATGGAAGTTCTTCAGCACCTAAAATGAAGGCTGGATTCCCCTGGGACCGTCCCTTGTACGGTTGTTTCCATGCGAGTGACCGGTTAGCTGACTGTGGTAAACAATGGGAGAGATGCATTGTTCGTTCTCCTGCTATTCTGCTTGAGAACTTTTCGTGCGAAACCTATACCTGCTGATTTCATCGTATTTAAGCACGTGCAGCTGTGTCCTGTGAGTCAATGGTCTCTTGTTGGCCAGTCCTTTTACACAGAAAAAGCATATTCTTCTTGTGTTAAAACTGCTTGGCTGGCATTTAGCTAACGTATTCTACACATATTCCATAACACCAGTCCTATGCATAATTCCGTTTTTCTAAAACAGTGTCGAGCACCAAGCGTTATTTACATTGACTCGAAACTTAAAATCCAGCGCCATGTATTCTTAAGCGACATATCGCCCGCTGTGTGGCGGACACCCTGCGGGCTGCTGAGAACGGAGGTGGACAGGACACGATCCCCTCTCGGTGCACTCAAAGCCCAGTTAAAATTAACTGTGCTGCCTGGAAAGTACTGAGAGTGGAGGAGTTTTAGAAAGTCCGTTAGAAACACGAAGCAGAGAAGTGATCGGGGGCTCTAGAGGGGTGGTCTCCGGAGCCGAGGTGTGAAGGCACTGGGGAGCCAGACAAGGGAAGCCGAGGGAAGATTTGTGCCAAAGCTCAAGAGGCTCCAGCAGAAGGTTGGGGTGGGCCGGAGTCCAGCGCGGTGGGAGCTTGGCCAGGGCGAGGGGCCGCAGAGACAGCGGGAAGGAGGAGCCGGCTGCAGCGGACCTGTACCCACAGACCACCTGGCATCCACTAACAGGCCAGATAGAAGAGACAGGAACGTGTGGGGCTCTGCTCGGAAGATCACTGGTGATAATGAGGATTTTGCCCTGTTCACGTAAATGCCCAAAGTCAGAGAGCATTTCCGTCACTGGTTTCTGTTCCAGCTCTTCTGCTGCAAGTTCATAGAGTACCTGGAAGATTTCCACGTCTGGCTCTCCGCGTACAGCCGGCCCTCCCCCAGCAGATACCTGCACACGCCGCGCCTCGCCGTGTCCTTCTCCCTGCTGTGTGTCTACGCGTGTCTCGCGGCCCTGGTCACGGCTGGAGGGCAAGAGCAGGTGGGGGCATGACTTCCTTACAGTCGCTTCCAGACCCCGGACCGACAGTGTGGCCCTCCTTGACTAAGGAATTAACAAAGCTCAGTCCTTGAGAAAGGTTTAAACAGGTGCCTGGAGGGCCCACAGGGGTCACTGGCCGGGGAAGGGGACAGGAGGGGAGTGTAGAGTGGGGGGCTCTGGGTGGTGTCAGGGCAGCCTTGCCTCACAGAGCCACTGCCCTCGGCTGGCAGCACAGTGGGAGGTCACGGAGCAGGGCTTTTCCAGAGAGCTTGGCAGACTAGGCTGTCTTATGAGAATGTCCTGAATTCTTTTTTAAAGTTAGCAATTCATTCAGATTTTAAGCAAATCCTCTGGGCATCAGAGAGCAGTTCTGATGGGCACATTTGCCCTTGGGATGCCAGTTTGGACTAGCAATGCTGGTCTGATTGTTCCTCGTGAGATATAGAGAATTAATTCTAAGTCACCACCGGCAGTTAAAACGGAGATGCTGCCTTCCCTGAGGAAAAATCACAGCATGGCTTTGGGGTGAGGGAACACAGACTTGTTTCTTAGGACAGCCTCATGGCCCTTCATGGGCCCAGCTGGGCTCACATGGCCCAGATGAGGCCGGGGAAGGTGGTGACAGGTTTGTCTCAGGGCAGGGTCCGTGAGCCATCCACAGGACAGCGGGGCGTGATGGCTCCCTACACGGCACCAGGTGTCAAAGAGGTCTGATAACTTAGGGGTTGGCAGAATAACATGTTCATAGAATTTGTAAAAAGATGATAAAGAAATATCAAATAGCAAGAAGGGAACAGCTCTGTCCACCTGGGAAAAGATTGGGGCCTGCGGTCAGGAAACCTGGGTCGGCCTCTCTTCTAAAGTTGACAAGTTGTCTGATCTTGGGCCACTGTCCGCCTGTCCTACTGCACTGGGGACATTGGCACCTTGTTGGGTTGTACAAGGGCTGAGTCAGGGGAGCGGGCGCCCGCAAACATCTGGTCAATCCAAAGGGATTTGTCTGTGAGGAAAACAAAATGATTTCTCGTTTTTGTTTTTTTTTACTCCTGGGATAGAAGGGCAAAGATTCATGAAGAGAGCACTTTCGGTTAAATATAATGTGTATATTTGTGCTAAATATATTTGTAATTACGAAATGACTGCACTTTAAGTTGGACTCTTTCCGGGTTGAAGTAACGGCTGCTGTTGGATTGCTGCAGCTCCTGCTGGCTGTCGGCCCTGCTGGCGTGGCCCTCGGATCCTTCCGGGTGGGTCTCCTGTGCGCCCTCCTGGCCTCTCCGGGGGCCCAGCTCCTGTCGCTGCTCTTCAGGCTCAGCAAGGTACCCACGGCCTGTCTGCCTGGCCCCATTCTCCTGAGCAGCCGTTTCACCGCGGGGAAGCGCCCTCTGCAAATAACTTCTCTGCCTCTGCAGGAAGCCCCGGGGCCTTCCCAAGCTGAACCAGGCCGCCCCTTGGGAGGAGCGCACACGGAGGCAACTCCGGGTAAATGTGCATTAAAACACCTAGAAACTCTCCGGTGCCTTTTGGATCAATCTCCTACTTTCAATGCGCATTGTGTTTATTATTAGTAAAGTTTGGCATCATTTCATGTGTTTAAAAAAGCCATTTTATTTTCTGCAGTTGGTCCATTTTCTTTGCCCATATTAATATTAATCTTGTAAAATCCTTTTTCTGAGTGATGTATAAATGCTTTTTACCCATTAAGAAAACTAGGCCTTTGTCAGATGGGTAGTGAGTACTTTCTCCAGTTGCTAGTGCCATTTGAGTTTGATTATTACTTAAATTTTTTTAATAGTCACATTTATTAATACTTTTAAGGCTTTTTTTTATCTTTTTCACTAAACATTTTCTCAAGCTGCCGTGGTTCCCTAGGTGGGTGGTGTGAGGGGTCGTCCAAGCCCCCACCAGGAAGGCAACGTCAAGACGTCCTCATTCTGGCTTTGTCCCGTGTCTCAGAAAGGCTTGTCTGGCAGAGTCAGGAAGAAAGAGTATTCTCTGAAGAAAGCAGTAACCTTTTTAAACATATCCCTGGTTTTGAATCATACATTTGCCTGTTCTTTTTTTACTCAGGCCCTAATTCCCGCAGAAGGACGCCAGATGCACAGGAGCCACGCAAGGTAAGCCAGTGACTGTGGGCAGCAGCTGGTTCTCCAGCATGCAGGCTTAACGACTAGATTGCCCCAGCGTCCTCCCTTGGCTGTGGTCGGGCCATGGGTGGGTCAGGCCCAGGGTGAGATGGAGACAGGAAAAGATCCACACAAGACCCGCAGCGCTGGCCGGGCCGCCCTCCGTAGGGGAGGCTGTTTCCCAGGCCACAGGCCACGGCGGGCTGGCTGTCCAGGTAGGGTCAGGAGGCTCAGCAGAGGCCAGAAGCAGGAAGCGGGCGAAGGGGGTGCAGCCCAGCAGAGTGTGGAGAGCCCGCGCTCATGCAGCGAGGCATTGACAGAGCCGTGGGAGACACACTGGGGCAGCAAGGCCCGGGTGTGTGCGCAGGCAGCTGCCCCAGTGGCGGCAGCTCCATCCCAGTCTCAAAGAAGCTGTGGGATGGGGCAGTTGAAGCTTCCGATGCCGCAACTATGGCGTCCCACTGGTACTTTGCTTTTTGGATCTGTGCGACTGTACCCTTCGTGTAGGTGGGATTCTCCCCTGTGGGGAGTGTCAGGGCACACGTGATTCCCTGTGTCTCCCAGGCTATAACTCTCTCCTGGTCCTGAGCTCGGCCCTCAGCGTGTCCCTCTGCCCCAAACACCACGCCAGGGCTCTGTGCCCTCTCACCCTGGGGCCTCTGCCTGGCCTGTTGCTCTGGCCAGATTCCCTCCTCTGGCAGGACTGTGGCTCCCAGAGAGCAGGGTGCAGTCACCTGACTGCATACAGCTGACATTAGGCCGCCAGCATTGCCCTGCAATCCTCCAAGGGAAACAAAGAGGACCTGCCCCCCGGGGCTCCTGCACTTCCTCCCTTAGAATTCTGCGGAGACCTGAGCTCCATGTCCCGCCCCGCTATTCCTGTTCTCCGAGAAGGCAGAAAGCGGCACTGCCATTGAGGGCACAGCATCACAGGACAGCCCTGTCCAGGGAGACATTAACCTCGGCCTGACCTTGTCATTCTAGCATCCTGCGTCAGCCGTTCTCTCTGGGGACACCTGGAGGAAGGCCGTGAGCGGCGACAGTGCAGCCTGTCCAGCCCCCGAGCTGGAGGCCCGTGGGACTGCCCATGGCGGGACTGCTGTGAGCAGGGAGAGCCACCACTGCCTTCCCCGTTCACAAGGTAACTGCGGTCCTGTGGTTTGTGATGTGCAGTCCCCTTTCTGCTGGTCTGGCTCCGGCCTGCAGCCACTGGGCAAGGCGGGCAAGCAGAGCCACAGTTGGGCCAAAGGTCACTAACACTGGTCTCATCTAAGAGCCAGGCATGGGCCCAGCTGAAACCGAGGTGTCCAGCTTTGTCCCACAGTCCTGATGGTTTCTGCCATGTACTTGACATAGGTTTGATCAGATCATGTTAAAAGTCAACAGTAAACTCTTAACTTTCCTTTAAAGATTCTGAAATGTGAAGCTTTGTACTTTTTAGTGCTAATTAGAGTGAATAACAGCACTGGCTTCAAATGATGCTGGAAGCTCAGCAGTGAGCTGAGAGAGGCAGGGAATTACCTGGGAACAAACAGGGCTGCGTCCAGGGAGGACGGATCCTGCTGCAGACTGGGTCCCAGGAAGGCAGCCATGTCCCTCTCAGTCATGTCCAGGAGGTGACTGTGTGGGCCTGGCCTGCCCGGGGGTGCATGGCTGTGGGGTCCTGGCACTCGTGATACACGAGGATTTGGTTTTCTCAAAGCTCCAGGTCAACCCAGGTGCTGGAGGACTAGATGCTGGCACAGTGGCTAGCAAAGCCTTTGTGTGCAGCAGAGGGAGGGTGCATTCAGCCTTGCACAGAGTTGTGCACAAAAAAGATGGTTTCTGTGAGTGAGTGAGGCTTCAAGCAGGTGCGCACATGAGCCTGCAGTACGGGTACTGGTGTCAGTGGGGAATCACTGTGCGCACTGGTCCCGAGGGCCAGCCACCCTCCGTGACAGCTGGACACGTGGCCTGGCTGGAAGGGAGTGCTCAGAAATGCGAGGCTCACACTGGCAGGCCAGACACCAATGAGGCTATGGGGAAAGCACGGCTCAGGATGACTCCACTGTCCTGGCCCCAGCTCCACAATCCTTGATTTCTTTAGCAAGTGTCCCTTGGTTTGCTGCATACCAGCTTCCTGGCAGCAGCCTGTTAGTCTGTTAAAATGTGTTGTGTTTGGTTGCCCTGGGTTAACGTCACATTCCACCTCCAGATGTGCCCTCCTTGGGGACTGACCTCTCAGAGCAATCATGAGAAAATGGGGATCCAGATGACTCCACTCAGGGGCATAAAGAACAATACAGGGTGACCCTCTGGGCCTGCTTAGTCTTTGGGGTCTGACATGGAAACTGGCCGCCCCCACCTCTGATGCTGAGGGCCTCTTGGTCAGCACAGGAGGGGAGGCCGTAAGGGTCCACTGAGGACACTGCAGGGCAGGAGTTGCTGCTCACCCACCCCTGTCCCTGCCTGAGGTGGGCACTGAAGTCCCAGCCCAGCGGTCAGGTGGGAACAGTTCCCTCGCACCCAGCCTGTGTGTTCTGTTCAGGCCCCGATGGACAGGATGAGACCCTACACTGGCGAGGGTGATCTGCTTTACTATCTGCTGATTCACAGGGTAACGTCGCCCAGAAACAACATCACAGACACACCCACAATGATGTTTGGCCGAATGTCTGGGCACCCCGTAGCCCAGTCAGGTTGACACGTGAAATTCGCCGGCACACCCTCTGTGGATGGAGATGCTGAGGTGTGTGAACTCACCTCGCCTCTGTTCTTTTCTGCTGCAGCCCCCCGCAGTGGTTTGGAAGGACTCGCACCCCCAGCAGGGGCCCATCTGCCTTGGTCAGACTCTGCGGCATTGGCTGTTTGTGGGATGGCTTCCCTGGCCTGTGGTTTGGGGACAGGATTTCTAGGCTACAGGTGAGTTGTGAAGGTTTCCGAATATCCTCAGGTCCGCAGATGAAAAGTCTAGCATCTGTAAGGAAATCCCTGCACTTCTGGGAACTCATCAAATGCAGGCACCAGATGTCACTTATTGCTATTTTCTCCCTCATTTCTCCTTCCTGCCTCACAGTTGGTGGGATGGGGGAGTGCGGCGGCTGTTGAATCATATGCAAACCCCAAAGAGTGGCTTGGCCCAGCCCGTTCTGTGACAGCAGCCGGCCTGGATGGAGCCCCAGGTATCAAACAGAATCCACAGGACACCCACCCGAGGCAGGAAGGAACCCAGCCGCGGGGCTCCTGAGAGGGCCAGGCTGTGAGCTGGATACATAAGCCTGCAAGACAGGGATTGTGATGCACACGTCACAGATTCCAGTTCTGTCCTCCACATACACTGCCTCTCTGGCTCCCGTGCAGCTCGGGCCACCGCTGGAGACTGCAGGGTCACTCACTGTGGCTCCGTGGGCCGCATCTCCATAAACCGTGAAGGGGAGCCGCAAAGCCAAGGCCCCTTCTCCCCAGCTCTTTCCTTTCCCCCAGGTGCACGTGTTGATGCCTGCGAGGATGAGCAGGCGCTTAGGATCTCCCCGAGCCCAGTTTGCCCATCTGTAAAGCAGGGATATCAGAGCACTTAGTCCACACGGTTTTACTAAATGCCTCCCTGTTAGCATGGTGCCTGCCCCTGTGGGTGCTCCACGGATTTCAGCGCTGCTGTTGTTGCTGCTCTCATTATTATTACACCCAACCCATTTTCCTGCCCTTCCCGTCTCTGCGGCATGTGATGGGTTTTCCTTTGTCTTTCCCACGGGGTAGGCTCAGGGAGGTTGATGTCCTCTTGACAGAAAGGGGCTCCCCTCCAGTGGGCAGAAAGACACCTCCCCGCACAGCCCCTCCCTGGCTGCAGCGCCCTTCCTGCCCGCCGTCCTGCCTTGGCGAGGGCACGGCCCTCCCAGGCCACGTCTCTGTGCATAGGCAGCAGCACCCGCCGGGCATCCTGCTCCCATGAGGATGCTGACCGCGCTGTCTCCTGCGGCAGGTTCGGCCCGGCGCAGTGTGTGCAGTGGCTGCACCTGCTGTTTCTCTCCGTGGTCTGCTGCGTTTTCGTCACCCAGCCACTTATGGTAAGAAACGCCCTCTGTGGTAGAGGCACCTTCCATCAGCAGGGGCCCTGCAAAGGAAGGGGAGTTGTGGCTTCATTTTGGTAGCAAGTTGCTTTTCTTTATGGCTTGAGTTAAGATGTAGTGAGAAGAAAACTGGGAGTGGGCCCTGCACTAAGCCCCACACAGGCCTGTTCTTTAATCTTCATGAAAACCCTATGAGGAATGAACCACTTTAATCCCCAGTTTTCATTTGAGGAAACCGAGCTTCAGAGAACACAAGTCTCCTGGGTGAGGCCACACCTGGCGAGTAGATGAGCCAAAATCAAAGGCGGTCACTGCTCGTGTCTGTTTAAAACTGGGAGGTGGGGTCCCGTCTGCCATGAGGAACGGGGAGACGGCTCTGTGCGGAATGAACGCAAACGCAGCGCGTGTGACTCTCTGTGCTATCACGGTTTTCCTTCCAGATATGCCTCATGGCGTTGGGTTTCGCTTGGAAAAGAAAAGACGACAACCACTTTTTTACTGAGTCTTTATGTGAGGCAACCAGGAATCTGGACGTGGAACTGGAAGAACATTCCCGGACCTGCCTTCCCCTGTCTTCGAGCTGTGCGGTTCCTGGCTGTGCGAGCGAAGTGGAAAAAGTGAGGAAGCTATTAAATATCTGTGTGGTGTGAGCTGAGCTTTAGAGGACTACTTTATATTCTCATCACAAGTATCTGGACTTAAGCTTTGAATTCAAATTTGGTTGCATTTTTAGAGACCCATGGAATGTATCTTCATTTCTTATGCTGCTTTGCACACACATACATGACAGAGGAACATTTAGGACTTATTTCCTTATCTGTACCACAACCCCAAAAAAGTCAGAGTATCAAGAAAATTAGCATATTTTAAAATATTGAAGCAAATGAGAAATATAATTCTGGGCATGATTTTGAAGACATCTTAGACCATTTGCAAGGCAGTGGACCCACAGAAAATGTACTCCTTTTCCCTCCCTCCCTTCCTTCTTTCCTGCATTCAGTTTCGCCCACTGAATATGTAGGTCCCACGGGCAGGGTGGACGATGTGAAGGAAGAGGAAGGTCTGCTGGCCACGTGAACAGAGTCACAGGCTTGTTAACATACGTGTATATGAAAGGCACGTGCGGTCCCGTACGTCTGTGGACCAAGGACGTAGTCCCCGTCTATTTCCAGTCAGACCCCGTCTCTGCCTCCGCTCAGCCTCACCCCTCCTCCCAGAGGGGCACACTAGTGAGCTCCATGTCTGAGGACCTGCCTGAGGCCTTTCTCCCCTGAAGCTCTTGGCCTCACCTGGAAGCGCTGATCACGATGATGATGTGTGGCGAGCATAAACTGCCTACTAGTCACGTGCTATTTTACATCTACACGTTATTTACATTCATCATTGCATTTGTTCTCTACCAGACCTTAAGAAGTAGGCAGCCTCTTTGCACCCCATTCCAAAGATGAGGAAGTGGAAGCTCAGAGAGGTGAAGTGATTAGACCAAGGCCACCCTGCAGGAAGCAGGGCTCTGGGGCCCGAACCTGCCTCCGTCTCACCCCTTCCTTATGCACCCCTGCCCCGTAGCACCTTAGCTTTTGACACAGCATTGCTCTGCTTCTCCCACACATTTTGGATCTCAACTTTCCTTTCTGCTTCGAAGCCTTTTCTGCCTTTTCTGTCCCCATGTGCAGCCACGCCCCGCCAGGCTGCTAGTCTGTTCTTTCTCCTTCTATAGTGTCATCCTCAGGGGTGAGCAACCTCCCGACAAATCCAGCCATGATCCTGAGGGCCAAACCGTGTGTCTGTCCCATCAGCTCCTTAAAGTCGGGGTGCCCCAACATCTGAGCTTCCCCACACCAGCCATAAGGTGCGCTCGCTTCTCAAGTGGCGCATCAGCTGGAAAGAACGTCCGAACCCGCGGGCTCTGCACGTGTCATGTCTCACTGTATATTTGTGCACCTGCCAGACGTTTCCTGGAAGCCCTGAGTCTCTGCGAGGAAGGACTGCCTCGATCCCTCAGATGGCCCCAGGGCCTGGCCCAGTGCCAGCTCAGTAAAAGGGTGTTGAGTGAATGAATGAGCGAGAAACAAATGAATGAATATCTTCGATGGGTTCCTTTATCTGGCTACTATTATATCCTGATCATAAATGGAATATGAAAGCAATAATGCTTTTTAGAAAACAAAGGTGTTTCTTGCTAAGACTGTACTTTAAAATGGCTTTTCCATATTTTGAAGGTCTTTAGGAGAAAATATGTGCAAATGCCAAAGATAATTGCTCCTCTAATTTGACAGTCGTAGACATGCCTCTCATGTAAAGCAGCACTTTTTAATGGCCTAGCCTGCAATCCCTGCCAAAAAAAGCTTGCCTGGGACATGAGCAGATTTTTAAAAATGGGTCTATCCCCCTCCCCAACAACCCGGTACATGTTATCTGTGCACAGTACCTCTTTGTCCCTAAGCACCAGACGGAACGAAAGGCACAGTGATGATGTGGTCCTTGGGCTGGCAGGAACACTGAGGGCCTCTCTCCTTCCACCACCAGCCCAGTGGCTCACAGCACTCTTGTCCCTGACAGGTCGTGGCTGCCCGACAGCGAGCACGGCACCTGCGCTGGGCGCGTCCACCATCCATGGCCCAGCTCAAGGTCACCAGGGAGAGGATGAGGAGAGAGAGTCGCATGCAGGCGGCCCTGAGGTGGGTGGAGGCCTCCGTGGGGATGGGCTTGCTCTGGCCCAGCCCCTCTTTCAGAGAGTGTGTCCTCCTGCCACTGGTGGTTCTTAAAGACTGTTCTCATCAGGGAGAATGGATGGGGACAACCCGTGCACCCTGGCACATGGGGGGATGCAGAGAAACTGAGCTGGAGGCAGAAAACACAGTTCTGCAACTTGCCTGGAATGAGAAACTGGTTAGGATCACTTCCTCCTCTAGCTCCAGCTTCCTCCCTCCCTGCATAGACTCACAGCCTGGTCAGATCTAATCCCACTCACGGCTGCACTCAGCACACGGCCTGGGCCTCTGCTTCTTCAGCTGGGGCACACGGGGGTGTAAGAATCCATAAAATAAATACAGCCCTTCTTAAGTAGCTTAAACATTCAAATACGCACAGCTACGTATGGTGGTCATAACATAATTCGAATCTTTTAAGATAAAACACAAACTTAAGAAATATGCTGTGGCAAAGCTTTGCAACATTGACCTCAGACAGGTTTCCCTCAGTGACACCCCTCCCATCCTTGGTGCAGTGGAGCCCACCCACTGTGAGAACCTTTCCGCACGTGCTAGCCGAAACGCCTCTCCAAATTCTGAACATACATTTGATCTCTTGCAAATCTTTCTGATGTAGTTTGTCAAGGATTTAGTAATTTCTGATATTTTTCCAAAAATGGCATTGCTAAAAAGTGTAATAGAAGCATCTCCAACCATCTTCCTTTTAAAAAAAAATCCCTTCATTACAGTGTGGAGCACCATTAGCTCCCCCTTAAATGTTTTCCAAATCCTTTTCCAAAGAGAAGAGCTGTGGTTGTGTTAGGATATCACATTAAAAGAAGAGTGGGAGAGGAATTCCAGGAAGATGGAGCAGTGGCAACGTTTTTTAAACTTGTAAAATTTCCCCACGAAATTAGAGCAAGTAAGATAGCAAAAGCATAACCCACAGAAAACATGCACAACAAAACCGGATGGCAAGTTGCTCCCCCCATTTCTCCAAAGGCACACAGGTGGTGACCAACCATTTAGTGCCCCAGCCCTGGAGCTTGGCATCTCTGCAAAACATGGAGAGGGAAGTGTGGGGTACCTGATGCCCCTGAGAACAGGAGAACCTCAATCTCCTGTGGGCCTCATTCCCTGGGAATGTGGTGGGTGCATCTGGGAGGAATTTGCACACTCAGTTCACTGGGTAGTGTGAGGTCTGGAGGCCTGGAACCTCTGAGCCAGCGGAGTTTTCAGAGCTAACCCAGCCTAGCTCTGCCAGGACACAGCCTTACATGGGGGAAAACTGCTGGGGGCGGCGTCCAAGCCAAGCAGGATAGGCCCAGAGAAAGCAATTAGAGACTAGCAGATTTGGAAAGAGGCAAAACTAGCTCTTTTGCAGTGACATAACTAAAAGTCTAGAAAAAAACTACAGAAATGAAAAGAAATTACTACAAACAGCAAGAGAATTTAGTAAAGTAGCAGGTTAAAAAATTAAAAGACAAAACCCAATATCCTTTGTATATATAAGTGAAAGTCAAAAGATTTAATACTCTATTCAACACAGCAAATAATAAAAATAAAATAAATGCAATGAAATACACTTAGGGATAATCTTAGAAATGCACAAGGCTTATACAGTGAAACTATTAAACAGTCCTGAAAAGCACAAATGTAAACTTAAACAAATGG